CATACCTAAAATCATACTTGAGGATTAAAGACTGAAAGCTTTTTCTTTAAGATCAGAAACAACACAGGAATACCTGTTTTTGCCCTTGCTATTCAACACTGTAGTAGAAGTTCTGGCCAGAATAAATAATCAAGAAAAAGAAATAAAAAATATTCAAGTTGGAAAGAAACAAGTAAAACTATCTCTATTCATAGATCATGATATTTTTTCTTTTTTTTGAGATCTCGCTCTGTCACCCAGGCTGGAGTGAAGTGGCACAATCTCCACCTCCCAGGTTCAGATGATTCTCCTGCCTCAGCCTTCTGAGTAGTAGGGAATACAGGCATGTGCCACCATACACAGCCAATTTTTGTATTTTTAGTAGAGAAGGGGTTTCACCATGTTGGCCGGGCAAGCTCTAACTCCTAATCTAAAGTGATTCTGCCCACTTTGGCCTCCCAAAGTGCTGGGATTACAGGCATAAACCACCATATTTGGCCAGCTTTTTGTTTTTTTCTTTTCCTGAGACAAAGCCTTGCTCTGTTACCCAGGCTGGAGTGCAGTAGTGCAGTCTCAGCTCACTGCAACCTCCACCTCCTGGGTCTCAACCTCTGGAGCAGCTTGGATTACAGGCATAAGCCATCATGACTGGCTAATTTTCGTATTTTAGTAGAGACAGGGCTTCACTATGTTGGCCAGGCTGGTCTCGAACTCCTTTCCTCAAGTGATCCACCCATCTAGGCCTCCCAAAGTACTGAAATTAAAGGCATGAACCACAGTGCCTGGCCAGAACATAATCTTATAAAAAACTGTTAGTGCTAATAAACAATTTTTTTTTGCTTAGCAAAGCAAAAAATCAGTAATATTTCTACATACTAGCAATGAACAATCTGAAAAGGAAATTAAATTACAATAACACCCAAAAGAATAAAACACTTAGAAATACATTTTACCAAGTTTGTAAGACTTGTACACCAAAACCTATGATACTCTGCCGAAAGAAATTACAAAACTAATTAAATGGAAATTAAATGGAAAGACAACCCATGTTCATGAATTAGAAGACTTAATATTGTTGGCTGGGCGCAGCAGCTTACACTTGTTAATCCCAGCACTTTGGGAGGCCGAGGTGGTTGGATCACCTGAGGTCAGGAGGTCAAGACCATCCTGGCCAACATGGTGAAACTCTGTCTTTACTAAAAATACAAAAATTAGTCAGACATGGTAGCGGGTGCCTGTAGTCCCAGCTACTCAGGAGGCCAAGGCAGGACAATCGCTTGAATACAGGAAGCAGTGGTTGCAGTGAGCCAAGATTGTGCCACTGCACTCGAGCCTGGGCAACAGAGTGAGACTCCATCTCAAAAAAAGAAAAAGGTTTTGTTGCTATTCTGGGCCCACTGCCTATATGGTAGCCCAACTTCAAAAGGGGCAATATCTATTATTAAAAAAAAAAAAAAAAAAAAAAGACAATATTCCTAAAATGGCAATACTACTCCCAAACAATCTGCAGGTTCAATGCGATCCTTATCAAAATCTCAAAGGCCTTTTTTGCAAAAACGGAAAAGCGGATCCTAAAATTCACATGAGATTGAAAGGAGCACCAAATGGCCAAAATGATTTCTAATAAGAACAAAGTTGAGGCCAGGAGAAGTGGCTCATGCCTATAATCCCAGTATTTTGGGAGGTTGAGGTGAGCAGATCACTTGAGCCCAGGAATCTGAGATCAGCCTGGGCAACATGATGAAACCCCATCTCTACAAAACATGTAAGAATTAGCTGGGCATGGTGGCACATGTCTTTGGTTCCAGCTACTTGGAAGCCTGAGGTGGAAGGTCAAGGCTGAGTGAGCCACGATCACACCACTGCATCCAGCCTGGGTGACAGAGTGAGACCATAACAACAACAACAACAACAGAACAAAACTGGAAGACTCCCACATCCCAATTTCAAATCTTACTGTAGCTCTACAGCAATCAAAACAACATGGTATTGGCATAAGAATAGACATATAGATGACAGAATAAAACTGACTCTAAAAATAAATCCAAACAGCTATGGTCCATTGATATATATATATTTTTTCTTTGAGAGAGGGTCTTGCTCTGTTGCCCAGGCTGGAGCGCAGTGGCTATTGATAGGTACAACCACAGAGTACTACAGCCTTGAACTCTTTGGCTCAACCAATCTTCTTGCCTCCCAAGTGGCTGAAACTACAGGTATGTGCCACTGTGCCCAGCTATGGTCAACTGATTTTTGATGAAGGTGCCAAGTCCATCCAATGGGCATCCAAAGGATAGTCTCTTCAAAAAATGCTGCCGGGACAACTGGATATCCACATGTAAAATGAAGTTGGACCCTTACCTTACATCAAATAGAAAAATTAACTCAGCCAGGCACGGTGGCTCACACCTGTAATCCCAGCACTTTGGGAGGCTGAGGCGGGTGGATCACGAGGTCAAGAGATCGAGACCATCCTGGTCAACATGGTGAAACCCCGTCTCTACTAAAAATACAAAAAAATTAGCTGGGCATGGTGGCGTGTGCCTGTAATCCCAGCTACTCAGGAGGCTGAGGCAGGAGAATTGCCTGAACCCAGGAGGCGGAGGTTGCGGTGAGCCGAGATCGTGCCATTGCACTCCAGCCTGGGTAACAAGAGCGAAACTCTGTCTCAAAAAAAAAAAAAAAGAAAAATTAACTCAAACGTATCAAAGCCCTGCATGGAAGAGTTAAAACTAAAACTCTTAGATAAAAACATATAGGGAAATCTTTCTAACCTTGAATTTAGCAATCATTTCTTGGTTATGATACCAAAAGTATAACCAACATTGCTCCAAAGAAAATAAGAAATGGCCAACAAGCACATGAAAAGATACTCAATGTTATTAGTCATTAGAAAAATGCAAATCAAAACCTGATGAGATACCACTCCACACCCATTAGGATGATAATTAAATAGAATTTAAAAAAAAAACAAGTGTCGTTGAGGATATGAAGAAATTAGACATCATCATTGGAAATGCAAAATGCTTTGGCCACTCTGGAAAAGTTTGGTGGTTCCCCAAAAAGTTAAACACAGAGTTACCATTGTTACACCAATTCTCCTAGAAATATACCCAAAAGAATTCAAAACACATTCAAACATACTTTGGAAGGCTGAGGCAGGTGGATCACTTGAGGTCAGGCATTCGAGACCAGCCTAACATAATGAAACCCAGTCTCTACTAAAAATACAAGGAGGTGCTTGCCTGTGATTCCAGCTACTTGGGAGGCTGAGGCAGGAGAATCGCTTGAGCCCAGGAAGGGGACATTGCACTGAGTAGAGATTGCGCCACTGCATTCTAGCCTGGGTGACAGAGCCAGACTCCATCAAAAAACAAAAACAAAAACAAAACAGAAAAACCCCACAATAACAAAAACAACCCACATTCAAACAAAACCTTGTATATGAATGTCTATAGAAGTTCTATTCACAACAGCCAAAACATGAAAACAACCCAAATGTCTATCAACTAATGGATAGTAAAATGAAATGTGATCTATTCATACGATAGAATACTATTCAGCCATAAAAAAGAATGAAGAGGTTGAGTACAGTGGCCCACGACTGTAATTTCAAAACTTTGGGAAGCTGAAGTGGGCAGATTACGAGGTCAGGAGTTCAAGACCAGCCTGACCAACATGGTGAAACCCCTCTCTACGAAAAATTCAAAAAATTCGCAGGACACGGTGGTGGGTGCCTGTAATCCCGGCTACTCGGGAGGCTGAGGCAGGAGAATTGCCTGAACCCAGGAGGCGGAGGTTGCAGTGAGCCGAGATCGCGCCATTGCACTCCAGCCTGGGTAACAAGAGCGAAACTCCATCTCAAAAAAAAAAAAAAAAAAAAAAAAAAAAAATTAGGTGGCCATGGCAGTGTGCACCTGTAGTCCCAGCTACTTAATTGGGAGGCTGAGGCAGGAGAATTGCTTGAACCCAGGAGGCGGAGGTTGCAGTGAGCCGAGATCGCGCCACTGCACTTCAGCTTGTTGATAGAGCAAGACTCTGTCTCCAAAAAAAAAAAAAAAAAAGAGAAATCGAGAATAAATTCAGCAGAACCTTTAAGGATAACAAGTTAGTTAGGTGTAGAAGGACCATTTTTCAAGAAGCCCAGAGCCCTAGAAGTAAGTAGACAAACCTTGGGGCTGGTCAGCAGGACTTCTACTACCGGAAGAGGCAAAGCTCTCAGTCAACTGGAAACAAGTCTTAAGACCCTAGGAACTGTAAAGAAGGAGCTTCCACCCACACGCTTAGAAAACTTCTCCAGAAAACCATTTCGGGGTCTACTTTTGTCATCTGAGATATTTTCCTGGACAGCTCTTTATGTCTCCGTGTCACCTCCTTTATGAAACTTTTTCTTATCCTCCTTTGTATTTGTGCCTCCCGTGTGGGTAGAACGCATTCTTATCACTTATTCAGAATCAGTGCATTCGGGTAGGAACAAGGCTGACTTCATCTCTAACCCCCAAACCTTAGCGTGTTGCTGTCAGTATGCACTGCGATGTTGGAAAGTCACAAAGGCTGTAGGAAGCAGCGGATGTGGCACAGGATGGGGAGGGCTAGGTTGGCTGGGGAATGATCGGGCAGGGCTTCAACGCCAAGTTAAGGGAATCTGGTCAGTAGTTCCCAACTGAATTTCTGAATCTCGAGGGAAAAATACTAAAATACAGACTTCCCCAGCCTCACCCCAAATCCAAAGGGCAACAAGTGCCCGCGGCGGTTCCGAGATTACGACAAGTTTGGGAACCTGTTGTGGGCAAAGAAAACAAAAGTTTTCCAAGCAACTGAGCGAAATACCTCAACTACGTTTTAAAATGCACTCCAGTCCCAGAGCAGACAGGAGGCCACTGCAATAGTCCAGACGAGGGGCGGTAAGGCCTGAGAAATGGGAGATAACCGCCTTTATCTCGATTCCCGGCGCCCACCACGCTGTCCCGCTCCGTGGGCCTTCATTAAGGCACGCAGCTAACCGGAACGCGGTTTCTTACCCGCCTCATGCGACCGTTGGACAGCAGGTCGGCAATCCCCTTGGCCGCGTCGTTTTTCTCGGCCACACAGAGGACTTTCCGCACCCCTCGGAGGGCCACCTCCATGGCGGCGCGGGAAAAGGCACGGCCTCCGGGCCGTCTCAGACACCGGAGCGCGTAGCGAGCGACAGGAAAGATCATCCTTAGGCTTCGCGCCCGCAGCCGCTTCCCGGGTGCCGGCGCATCCTGGGGAAGCCAGAGGCGAGGCCCACCTGGCACCCACAGTAAGGGAACTAGAGCCTCCTTTCGGTCACGTCCCACCAGCCTGCTGGCCTTTGGAGCTTCAGTCACTGAGCCTTTTCCGTGCCGCCGCCTCAACACCGAACCCAGTACCTTGGCTGGAGGTTCCGCCCGCCTTCTCCAGCCACTTCCTCCAAGCGCGCCTCACACAGCAGACATGGAACTACAACTCCTAGAATGGCCCGCGCTCCTGGCCCCTAGTCCAAGCACGTTTACCCTAGCACCCCCCCAACACCACTACGCCCCGCTTTCCCCTCCTTCCAGGCAGTTGTTGGTTAGTCGGACTCTTTCTTGGGAGGAGCCGCCGGACACTCCCATCTAAGGCCTTCTCTTTCTCACGACTTTTTTTTTTTTTTTTTTTTTTTTTTTTTTCCTCTTGCTCGGAAGTCTACGAAGACGCTTCCGGGTCACGCCGCGCCGCGTCCAGGAGTCATGTGATGCCAAGATGGCGGCGCCGCAGTAGCTGGATCCGGGTTGTGGCGTCCTATAAGCCGCGACGGTTTCTGCCCTCGGGCAGTGGGGGTCGGCAGCGCTTGGCTGACCCCTGCGGCGGCCCGCAGCATCGCTTTAAGCCTGGTTCAAAGACCGGGTTGTTGCTGTCGCTGTGGGTTCCAGGGAGTGCAGGTGACCTCGCTGCAGGTTTCTTGTGCTGGCTGCGCTCGCCGGAGGAAGAGAAGGGCAGTTGGGTCTGCAGCCTTGGCGTTCATGAGGCCTCCGAGAGCTCCGGAGGAGCTACAACTGAGGGGGCGGCTAGAGTTCGTCTTCGGGTGTGTGAGAAGCAGCCTAGGACCCTGGGTTGGGGGAGTCGCAAAGAAGGCCGCAAGGGCTTCACTTCCTTCTCCAGAGGCCCGCCGTCTGCGCGTCTATTAACATCGCATTCTTTCCCACTTCCTCTCAATGTTTTCTTCATATATCTGGAAATATGATCAGCGCCCCTGACGTAGTGGCCTTCACCAAAGAGGAAGAATATGAGGAAGAGCCTTACAATGAGCCGACCCTGCCTGAGGAGTACTCTGTGCCGCTCTTCCCCTTCGCCAGCCAGGGTGCTAACCCCTGGTCAAAACTATCCGGGGCCAAGTTCTCGAGGGACTTCATTCTTATTTCCGAGTTCTCTGAGCAGGTGGGACCCCAACCCTTACTGACCATCCCCAATGACACCAAAGTTTTTGGCACTTTTGATCTCAATTACTTCTCTCTGCGTATCATGTCTGTGGATTACCAGGCTTCCTTTGTGGGCCATCCTCCTGGATCTGCCTACCCCAAGCTGAACTTCGTGGAGGACTCCAAGGTGGTGCTAGGAGACTCCAAGGAGGGAGCCTTTGCATATGTGCACCACCTTACCCTATATGACCTGGAGGCCCGTGGCTTTGTGAGGCCCTTTTGCATGGCTTATATCTCTGCAGACCAGCATAAAATCATGCAGCAGTTCCAGGAGCTTTCCGCCGAATTTTCCAGAGCTTCTGAGTGCTTGAAGACTGGGAACAGGAAGGCATTTGCTGGGGAACTTGAAAAAAAGCTGAAAGACTTGGATTACACCAGGACAGTGCTGCACACAGAGACGGAGATCCAGAAGAAAGCCAATGACAAAGGCTTTTACTCATCTCAGGCAATTGAGAAAGCCAATGAACTGGCCAGTGTGGAGAAGTCCATCATTGAACATCAGGACCTGCTGAAGCAGATCCGCTCATACCCTCATCGGAAGTTGAAGGGGTCTGATTTGTGTCCTGGTGAGATGGAGCACACCCAGGATCAGGCCAACCAGGCATCCACTACCTCTAACCCTGATGAGTCTGCTGATACAGACCTTTACACCTGCAGACCAGCCTACACCCCAAAACTTATCAAAGCAAAGTCCAAGTGTTTTGACAAGAAGTTGAAGACCTTGGAGGAGCTCTGTGACACTGAATATTTCACCCAGACCCTGGCTCAGCTCAGCCACATTGAGCACATGTTCAGAGGAGACCTGTGTTACCTCCTGACCAGTCAGATTGATAGGGCACTTCTAAAACAACAGCACATAACAAACTTTCTCTTTGAAGACTTTGTGGAGGTTGATGACAGGATGGTGGAGAAACAAGAGAGCCTACTCTCTAAGCCCAGTCAAGACAGGCCGCCTTCCAGGTCTCTAGAAGAATGCCCAATTCCTAAAGTGTTAATTAGTGTTGGTTCTTACAAGTCCAGTGTGGAGTCTGTGCTGATCAAGATGGAGCAGGAACTTGGAGATGAGGAATACAAGGAAGTGGAGGTGACGGAGTTGAGCAGTTTTGAGCCCCAGGACTACCTGGATATGGATATGAAAGGGAGTATCAGTAGTGGTGAAAGCATTGAAGTCCTGGGCACAGAGAAATCCACCTCTGTGCTTTCTAAGTCTGACAGCCAGGCCAGCCTCACAGTACCATTGAGCCCCCAGGTGGTTCGGAGCAAAGCAGTCAGCCACAGGACCATCAGCGAGGACAGTATTGAAGTCCTCAGTACCTGCCCCTCTGAGGCCCTCATCCCTGATGACTTTAAGTCCAGCTACCCAAGTGCCATTAATGAAGAAGAATCATATGCAGAAGACAATGAGGGAGCCATCCACTTTGAGGCAAGCATGAGCCCTCCGGAGCTGGGTGAGACAGAGGAGGGCAGCGTGGAAAACACTGTATCACAAATAGACTCCTCCTGCTGTATTGGGAAGGAGAGTGACAGTCAGCTGGTGCTGCCCTCCACTCCAGCCCATACACACTCTGACGAGGATGGAGTGGTGAGCATCCCCCCACAGCGCCATAGGCAGAAGGACCAGGAGTTCCATGTTGATTTTTCAGTGGAAAATGCCAACCTTTCTTCCCAAGACAATAGTTATGAAGGGTTTCCTGCTTATGAGCTGGACCCGAGCCATCTGCTGGCTAGCCGGGACATCAGTAAGACCAGCTTGGACAACTACTCAGACACCACCAGCTATGTGAGCAGTGTCGCCTCCACCAGCTCGGACAGGATCCCCTCTGCTCATCCTGCCGGCCTGTCTTCCGATAAGCATAAAAAGAGGGCTGGCCAGAACGCCTTAAAATTCATCCGCCAGTACCCCTTTGCCCACCCAGCCATCTACTCCCTGCTCAGCGGGAGGACACTCGTGGTCCTGGGGGAAGATGAGGCCATAGTCAGGAAGCTGGTGACTGCACTGGCCATCTTTGTCCCCAGCTATGGCTGCTACGCTAAGCCGGTGAAACACTGGGCCTCCTCCCCTTTGCACATTATGGATTTTCAGAAGTGGAAACTTATTGGTTTGCAGAGGTAACTGGTTCCAGGTGGTGGGGAAGGGCCTTGGCCAAATACAGATGGGGCACATTGGTGTGGTGGAGCCAGAATCAGGAGGCCTGGCTTCTAGATGGGGCCCAGTCCTTACCACTGTGTTACTTTTGGCAAATCATTCCCCTCTCTGGTTTCCATTTCCTTGTCTGTCCTGTGAGGGGGTTGGAGTTCCTAGGTGGTTGCCAATCCCTATCTGTCCTCAGGCTGCGTCAGAATTATTAGGGAAAGTTTTTAAAATCATGGATTCCTGAGTCACACCTCTCGAGGGTCTGATTCAGTTGGTGTGAGTTAGCACATGGAATTTATCTATGGCCCTCGCCAGCCAGACTGCAGGAGGCATCCATCTGTAAAAGCAGAAGGCCCATCAGAAGGGACAGATGACTCTGGGGGCTCCCAGTAAGTGCTCCTTCACCCTTCAGAGCACATGCAGATGTTGGGCACTGGGAGCATCTGCCTCTGCTGTCCTGCAGAGGTGTGAGGTGAGGTGGGCAGCCGTGGGGAGCCCTGTACCCTTGAGGGTCCACTGAGGGTCCAGAAGTGGAATGGGATGGGCTACAGCTCACCCAAAGAATTCCTGGGGGAGGTGAGCAGTAGATGCCACCCTAAGGTATAAGATGAAACTTGTGGGCCGTGGCAGTTAGTGGGAGCAGTGGGTGGTCTGGGTCAGGTCCTGGTGCTGCCACCACTTGCTATGTGCATTTGGACCGGCCATCACCTTATTCATTCAGTCACCAAATCGTGTCGAACGCCTCTGAAGGGCTCGCGGGGCCCACCTGAGAGCCATCGGAAGGGTCCACATTTAGTGCATGTCCAAAGAGCACAGCCCAGTGCAGTGCTGGGCCCTGAGAAGCACTCGGAGGGTGGAACCGGCACTGACACAGGCAGGCAGACTGGGGCCCACCTGAGGCCAGGCTTTAAAATTCACAAGGAGAGATGTCTTGGCTGGTTGTGACCTACCTGTCCTCGGAGGTGTTGTGCTGCAGAGGCTCTGCCCTCCGAGCACCATAGCCCAGAAGTGCCCCTCCTCACCCAGGCCCCTCCTCAGATGATGGACTAGCTCTCAGGACCCTCACTTCAGACAACTAGGCTTGCTGGCCCTTGATTTTTTTTTCACTCTGCCTAGAAATGCTTGTAGTTAGCTCAGCCATCTGTGAGGACAAGAGATGGCTAAACAGCCAAGCTGGTCCCCTGTCATTTGTGGAGTTTTTTGTTTTGTGGGTTTTTTTTTTTTTTTTTTGAGACAGAGTCTTGCTCTGTTGCCCAGATTGGAGTGCAGTGATGCCATCTTGGCCAACTGTAGCCTCTGCTTCCTAGGCTCAGGTGTTTTTTGTGCCTCAGCCTCTCTAGTAGCTGGCATTATAGGTATGTGCCACCATGGCAGGCTAATTTTTGTATTTTTAGTAGAAACAGGGTTTCACCACGTTGGCCAGGCAGGTCTCAAATGATCCGCCCACCTCAGCCTCCCAGAGTGCTGGGATTACAGGCGTGAGCCATCACACCTGGTCCCACTGTCATTTTAATTGAACACCAGGGGTCATCGTATTGCTTACTAAGCAGCAGTTACAAGCCCAGACTGAAAAGCAGAGCTCGCTTCTGGCAGGAGAAAACGCTAGCCTAGCGTGTGTCTGAGGCCCTGGGTTGAGTCCTGGTTTGGCCACTTGCTAGCTAGGTGACCTTGCAAAAACTGCCACCTCATCCAGTCCTCTGTGTCCTCATCAGTGAAGAGGTATCCACCCATGGCAGGCGTGGGAAGTGCAGTGTGAGGCTGCAGTTGGGGTGCTGTATACCTGGGGGCTGGAAGCCTGGGGCTTGTCTTTTCCCATGTCATCTGGCCTCCTGAGGAGGAGCTTTATGGAAACAAGTGAATGAACAGTTACAATAGCCAGCATCTTCCAAAAGAAGTGTTGTCACCATTGGAGCAGGTGTCAGAGCTGCCTCAAGGGATGCTGGGCCTGAGAGCAGGTGTCCCAGCAGGGATAGAGGGGCAAAAAGTGGGAGGTGAGGCCTGGGTGTCCTGTGGCAGCAGCACCTGTGGAGCTGGATATGTGGAGCTTGCGAGGTGTTTGATTCTGGCCAGCCCCACTTTGGGGAGGTAAGAGTGAAGGCAGTAGAGAGAGCTAAGAAGGCCCCAGAACACAGGGGACCACACAGCATGGGTTAAGGAGAGCGTCTCACTGCCCTCGTGAGCTTTCTTAGATGTCAACCACTTGTAGGTCCCAGTTCTTCCACGCCTGTGGGATGCATGCAGTCCGTAGCCCAGTGCTGCCACTATGGTCAGGATGCGTGGCCTTTGTGTCTCAGCTATCCCATTTCTGTGACCTGGCTTTTGCCATGGTCTCCTATGCCCTCCTCAGTCCCTAGAGCCCACACTGCTTCTAAGGGCCCACTCTGAGGCAAACCCATGAACCCCCCAGGTCTTCCCAACTACGGCCTCTCTCAGGGAGAACGAGACCACGTCTCCCTTCACTTTGCTGTACTTGTGCACATTTCTTTTCTTCCCAATCAGACTGAGCTCATGAAGGACAGGAGTTCCAGTTCATTCTTCATTACAGGGTTAGCTTCCAGGGCAATGCTGGGATGTTATAGGTGCTCAGTAAATGATTGTTAAATACACAAAAAGATAAAACCTAGGAAGGAAAAAGTACTAGATTACCTTGGTCCCAAGTCACCATCAGTCCTTTTTACACAATACCTGTCTGACATAAGCTCCAAATATCCAGGCCCTAACAGGGCAGTCCCTGCTGCTCTGGGGAAGCTGCTCCAGGAGGGTATTTAAGGAACTGCTTCCCTCACTGAGTGAACACTGGCTTTTCCTGGCTCTGATGTGCCAGGCATTGGGGGCATGAGATGATGCAGTCCTAGGACTCTAGAATCCAGGAGCTTCTCTGTCCAGTGGAGAAGCCAGTGAACAAACAACAGTCACCCCACTGGTCAGTGCTAGGCTGAAAGTAGTGATGGTGATGACAGTGCCCACTGAGGGCCAGCACTGTCGTAAACACAACTCATTTTTTCTCCACAGCAACCCCATGAGGGATGTGTTAGTAGTAACTGGCCCATACAGTGACTCATGCCTGAAATCCCAAATCTTTGGGAGGCCAAGGCAGGAGGATCACTTGAGCACAGAAGTTCAAGACCAGCCTGAGCAACACAGCAAGCTTCCGTCTCTACAAAAAATTATCTGAGTGTGGTGGCATACGCCTGTAGTCCCAACTACTTGGGAGGCCAAGGTGGGAGAATTGCTTGAGCCCAGGAGGTGAAGGCTGCAGTGAGTCATGATCATGCCACTGCACTCCAGCCTGGGCAACAGAGCAAGACCCTATCTCTAAATAATAAATAAAAATAGTAGGAACTGTTATCTCCATTTCATAGGTGAGACTCAGAATGGTTAAGGAACTTGGCCAAGGTCACAGCAGGAAATCAGAGAAGATAAGGGAAGGCTGAATATGGTTTAAATTGAGCTAAGTACAAGAGGGAGAGAGAGGGTATTTCAGGCAGAACAAAGAGGTTTGTAATTTTGAGGTCCACTGAAAGCTTGCCATGGCTCCAAAAGAGAGTCCATTCAGCAGGAATTGGACCACAAAGGGCCTTGCTTTGTCGGTCACTTTGGTCCTGAGAGTGGTGAGGAGCCCTTTGAAGATCATGATGATCAGATTTGCCTTCCAGGAAGAGCTGGTGCATGCTGGCTGGGTGGGTGCTGACCTGAGGACAGGATGCCTCACCTCCCCAAGCTTCTGCCTCCACTTTTCCGGCCCTTGCCTCTCCTCCTGACCTTGGCCTGTATGTTTCAGAGTGGCCTCACCTGCTGGTGCCGGTACCCTCCATGCCCTGAGCCGCTACAGCCGCTACACGAGCATCCTGGACCTTGACAACAAAACCCTGCGCTGCCCCCTCTACAGAGGTACCCTGGTGCCCCGCCTGGCAGACCACCGCACACAGATCAAACGAGGCAGCACCTACTACCTGCATGTCCAGAGCATGCTCACCCAGCTCTGCTCCAAGGCTTTCCTCTACACCTTCTGCCACCACCTGCACTTGCCTACCCATGACAAGGAGACAGAGGAGCTGGTAGCCAGCCGCCAGGCGAGCTTCCTAAAGCTGACCCTGGGTCTGGTGAATGAGGATGTCAGGGTGGTCCAGTACCTGGCTGAGCTGCTGAAGCTGCACTACATGCAGGAATCTCCAGGGACCAACCACCCCATGCTCAGGTTTGACTATGTCCCCAGCTTTTTGTATAAAATCTGAGGTCGGTCCCAGCCAATGTGACCAAGACCTGTGACTCAGGGTGTGTGGGGGGTGGGGGTTGGATGACCAAACAGTTACCTGAGCTGGACTGTTTAGGTTTCTGGTGTCTGGCAGCATGGTTCCCACATGGTTCCTGGTAGCTTTCAAGTTGGATGTGGGCAGAAGTGGAGCCTGGCTCGCTCTAAAGGTGTCTGGAGGGATGGTGACAGCTACATTCAGCTCCCTGGTGAAGAGTGGCCCCTGGATGTGTAGGGGGCTTTGTTTTCTGAGGACTGGCAGCCAGAGCAGAAGGGAAGCCACCTTCCTTTGGTGGGGCAGGGTGAGGGCAGGAAGGCCAAAGCCTGATGGGAGGAGCACATGGGCCGTATTCAGCATCATTGGACACTTGAGTGGCAAAACAAGCACGGGTGGCAGCCGGGTAACTATTGTAGTTTGGTGGAAAACAGGAGGGCAGAACACCCATCACCACATTCAGTCCCAGGTGCAGCCCTTTATTTGGCCTCCTGGAGCCCACTGTCCCAGGGGAGGCCCTGGAACAGCCAGTGGGAGGGAGAAAGGCTGCCACTGTCTGAGTCATGAGAAACATGCAACCTTCTGGGCCTCAGGGCCACAGAGCATAAGCAGCACCCTGTCCCCTGTCCTTGCCACCTTACCAGGGAGAGAAATGCCTATGAGCGGGCCTTGGGACTCACTCCCCATGCTTAGTCGCCAGGAAGGAGCAGAGCATTCAGTAGTCCCAGTGTGAAGCGGCCCAGTGGCTCCTGCCGGCCAGAGCACGTAAGCACTGAGTATTCTCATCGGGAAGGTCTGCAGACCCGAGTGAACATGGCAGAGGCCATACTCCAGCTCTCACCCACGTAAACCTTTGTAACCACTTCACTACCTCTCACTGGGTCTCGTAGGCATGAGACAGTACGGTTCTGTTCAGTCAGCAGGTGCAGGTGGTTGGCCTGGCCAATGAGAACTCAGATGGCATGGATTTCCTGGATGAGCTCCCATGTGGCACTCTTCAGGTTCTGCCTCTGGGAGACTGTGTGCACCTCAGTCACCACAGCTCATGGCCATCCCCAGTTGAGTCCTCCTTCTGAAGACAATTGAGACTACAAAGGAGACACCCCCTGGTTCCTCCAGCACTGTCCAACTGATAGTGATCCCCTGCTGTCCTGAACCTCTTTAGGCAATGGCCACTGGTTTGTAGACAGAGGGTTTCTTGCAGCCTTGAAAATTTTATTTCCTAAGTGGGGATAGTTCTGGGTATTACTGCTTCTTTAATTTGTTCCACAAAAATTGTTTTGAAATGGACCTGAATCAGCCCTGGGTGTGTATCTGTGGCGCCTGTAGTACACCCTTGAGGTCATCACAGAGCCAGCCAGCTTCTCTTCTCATCAAGGAGGCAGAGACCCCTGGTGGAAGCCGAGAGTGACCAAAGAAGGCTTGCATCACATCACTCCAGTGGTTCCCTCCTAGTCCAAGTCCTTGATGTAAGGGATGGCCTGTTGGCTCCAGCCATTGGCTTCTGTTCAGGGTCCTTGCTCCCATCAGAGGTGTGTGATTTTGTTATTGGGGCTGCCATGGAGAACCTTTTGTGGCAGACGGTGCTGCCTACATCTCATCAGTTCTCTGAACCTGTGCCCATTGTGCATGTTCACAGACAGGAGAGTTGCCAGCGATGCCTTGGCAGGCTTTAAATGTGAAACGTCTGTTACTTGCACTAGAGACAGGCTACGCAGGGAGCCTGCTTCTCATCGTGGGCTCCCTTATCTGTTACGGCTCCTTCCCCTCCTATTCCAGATGCTGATTTGTTTTCTCACTGGCTGGCTAACTGCTGTCTACTTATGCCTCCAAGGCCATAACTGTGCAACATTTTTTCTGAGCAGGAAGGTCAGTAAGTGATCATTGGCACCACCACTGTGGTATTCCTATCACACCATCACAGAAATTCACAGCTCATACTCTTCTCACCTAAGAAACTTGGGAAAGGCTGATGAGTTTGGGGCAGATCCTGAATTGCAGCCACATTTGGACTTCTAGCAGCTGCAGCTTTGCACTCTAGAGGTCCTAAGTGAAGTCCACTTGGTGTATTTGCTGGCACACACCCTCAAGGGTGGTTCAGAAGGTCCTGAGACCTAAGGCAAGAGGTTGCTGGGGTGTGAACAGAACAGACTGTCTCAGGGACAGCCACAGAAGTAGGAAGCAGGGCAATCTCCCTCAAGGTGGTTCTTCATTAAGTATTAAGATGGCTTCATGACTAGTGTGTGAGCTCCCTGATTTATATATGAGTTAAAAACTAACTTTTCAATGTGGCAATTTCTTATTTTTTTTTTTAAGATGGGATTTCACCATAATGGCCAGGCTGATCTTGAACTCCTGACCTCAGGTAATCCACTCACCTCGGCCTCCCAAAATGCTAGGATTACAGGTGTGAGCCACCATGCTCAGCCAAATGTGGCAATTTCAAAGGATTACTTGAGGCTAAGTATGTTTCCTTTCAAAGGGATCTTAAAGTGGTTCTAGGACTGAGTCATAGCTTGGGCAGAGGCAGTTAGTTAACACTGGGAAGCCCTGCCCCTCCCTATGCCCACTCCATTCCGGGGAACTGAAACCTACTCTGAGTCTCACATCTCTAAACTTCAGTGGTGAGACCTATACCTATACAGTGGGACTGATCTCATCAACAATTTCATTTGAAGCTGGGCAGAGTGGCTCACGCCTGTAATCTCAGCACTTTGGGAGGCTGAGGCAGGTGGATCACTTGAGGTCAGGAGTTGAAGACCAGCCTGACCAACATGGTGAAACCCCGTCTCTACTAAAAATACAAAAAGAGTTAGCCAGGCCTGGTGGTGCGTGCCTGTAATCCCAGTTACTTGGGAGGCTGAGGGCCGGAGAATCGCTTGAACTTGGGAGGCAGAGGTTGCAGTGAGCCGAGATCGCGCCACTGCACTCCAGCCTGGGCAACAAGAGCAAAAACTACATCTCAAAAAACTTTTTTTTTTTTCATTTGAGGTATTTTCCAGTAGAAAGTAAGTTTTTAATGAAACCATTAAAAATAACACTTCCCAGAAAATAGATGACATCAGTGTCCCTGCTACTTCCTCAGTCCACTCTATTGCTTTGAGGGCCCAGGTACTGAAACTGGTTGTCTTGAGTTGTGTCAGCTTTTCCTCCAGTCCATTATCCCACTCCCCATTTCTGAAGCAGTCTAGGTTAAGAAACTAGTCAGGCAGGTAGCTGTGGACTGGTGATTTTCAGAAGCCCCACTTTAGAGATCAGGCCACATCTTTTTATATCGCACAGAACACATCAGCCTGAGCTGTGGCCTCACGCCTGTTTCCCTAGGAACATCACTGCTTTGGGATTTTAGAAATTGTGGCTTTTCCATATATCATTTACTCCAACAGGTGAAGTCACACACATTGCTCCTGAATGTGGAAATGGACCACAGTATCTTACCTTTCATTCCCCATCTGGCCTTTACCTTCTTTGCTTCAGTGGTTGAAAACAGTTGCTATATTCGAAGTAGAGTAGATTTCAACCTCACACAAATGACAAGTCTATTTCAGAATCCTAGGAAGGTCCACTGATTTCATCTCACATACTAGGGCGGCTGCAGTTGGAGGCTGAGAGCAGCCCTCTGCTCACTGAATGTCTTGCGTGCGCTGACTGCTGCCCATAGTGCCGAACATGCCCCATGGCCCAGACCTGGTGCTGCACGTTGAATCAGCATCTAGTTCTGCTGTCCTGTCTCTGTCTGCACAGCCGGTAACACTGTCTCAGCCAGGGGGTTTATCAGAAGGTGTGCAAGGCCTTTGGAGGAGCTAAGCCCCTATGGCGGGCAGTCTCCTTTATCTTCCCACCTCCCGGTGAAGCGCAGAAGACAGTGCCTGGGTTTGTGCTTTGAAGCAAACCAGCCAGCTTTCTGGTTTTGCCCCAATATTGTGATGGAACATAATAAAACTGGAGATACAGTTTTAACTCTGCAAGAAGGAAAAGGCCTCAAGTTTTTACTTCTGGCTGGAAAGCAAAACAAAACCAGTCTCAGCTGATAAGCCTGGGCAAACTAAGTTTTCCTGAGCCCATTTTCCTTGGAGTCCTGACCTAGTCTGGCCTTATGTAATTAGGTTTGGTTAAAGCTGTGAAAAGGAGGTAGGAGGGAATGGGAGTGTGGGGAAGGGGAGGGGCACTCTGCAGCTGATTAATCTGTTGGTAGGGGCCCAGCTTCCTGGGAGTGCTTATTCCGCCCCGCCCTGGAGTGTAGGCTGCATACAGCCCTGGAGGTAGCTTGTCTCGAACTGCAGAGGGGTCAGGCCCCTAAATTGAAGATCACTTTGGCAGCAGAAATGTAGGGACTGGCGGTTCACCCATAACTCACAGATTCTGCAGCAACTGCTCCACCTACAATACAGCAAATGCCAACAGGCTAGACCCCAGAGTGCAGGGGCTGCCACCTACAGGGTGGGACCACAGGGTGCCTCACCCATATTGTCTGTCACTAAATAGCTGGAGTCACAGATTGGATTGAGATAAATGCCACCTTCGACGTTGCAGTGAAAAGCATAGTCCTATGTGATGAATTCATGTGTTATTTTTTAAAAAGCTATTTTATTACTGCATGTTCCTGTCAGTCTTGTGAATGTGAGTCCCCACCACCACATGAGCAGCAGTCATTGCTGTGGCTGGTGCAGGAGTGCGATTGACACATGTGTGATAGCATCTCGTAGGTGTTGCACAAGAGTTAACCAGAGTCAATGCCAAACACATAGTATGAGAAGTGTACTTTTTAAGAAATTAATTTATTTGAGTTCAAATATTTTTGAAACATAAAAATTGGTTGTATTTTTTAAAGCTATAATTCTTGTAGACATTCTGTGGTTAAAAATTTGATTGTGCTTATTAAAAATGGTCATCTATGTTTTGCACTTCAGCTATGTGAAAATAAAGTTTCTTTGGGAAGGTGACATTTGGCTTCCTGATTATGGGAGGGAGTTGGTAGCAGGAAAGCCTGGTTGATTCTCACACCAGGATGGAGGGAGGAGAAGACCATTTCTACACCATTTTTTTTTTTAATCCACTAGAGAACAATGTACACCATATTTTTTAGCTACTGACAGCAAAACCTTCCTACCGTACAGGGTGCACCTTGTGTACACTTGGCTAACGTAGACTTCTGATTTACAATACATAGCAGAAGCTTCAGAGGCTAATTCAGTTCTCCTTTGGCATGCCACTGGATAACAAGACAGTAAGAGTGGCAGTGTTTCCAAGCTGCGGACATGGGCATTTCTTCTCTATTGCAGCAAGGTAGAGCAAAGCTCAGGGAGAGTAAAACGCTAGATTCTAATAGTTTTGCCCTACACCATGGTCTAAATGATTATGGCCAAGAGGCTAAACAGTATTTTAGTTGTATAGAATAATTATATCCAGCTGTGAGAAGGCCAGGTTCGAATTTAAATCCTTTAATTACCTGTCCCAGAGTTACTAACAATGAGACTTAAACAAATTTTGATTTGTGAAGAAAACTTGAAAAAAGTCCAAAAGAAACCCCCTCAAAGGGCCCAAGTAGTCAAGTCAATGGGTCCCCTGTGGAGCAGGTCATCCATCTCTCAAGGCGGAGGTCCTCCAGCAGACAGCTTCTTCTGTGGCACAGGCAAGTTCAGAGTGGGCCAATGGCTTTAGAAGTCGGGCACGCCAGGCAGAGGGAAGAGAGAAGCGAAGCTCTCGACCTCCTCCCGGAGAGCCTGCACGGCCCCCTTGTATTTATCCCCTGCCAGTCTCTCCTTGAACTCCTTCAGGGTGGCTCTGACACCAATGTCGCTCTGGATCTGCAGGGTTAGCTCTATCCCTGTGCCACAAGACACAAGTGAGTTACCCTGGGGTCACCCCACACTACACACCAGAGTGGGGCACAATGGCTGGGGGCCAAGGCACAGCTGTCAGAATGTCCCCCAGCTGGGGAGTGCGGCAAGGCATCAGGTCTCAATGTTCACCTCAGAAATTACTCTTGGATGCACCCACCCTTGGACAGATATCGTGGGCAGCCCAAATTTATAAACCTCTCAGACAAGGTGATTTACCTAAGTGGTTTTTGCTGGCTCCCGCCCCAGCACTCAGCCTTGGTGCAGAATTGTCTTTGGGTGGCAGGGTCTCAGCTACTCATCACAATCAGAAACTAAATACACACAATAAGATGTGGGAACTTTAGAAATTTTATCCTTACCTCTGTGAATAAAGTGGGCTACTTTTCCAAAGTCTTTTTCCAAAAGTCCACGGGACGTCAGTGCCGGTGTCCCCAGCCGCAGTCCACTGGGCCGTAGAGCGCTTCTGTCACCTACAAGATAAACGGGGCTCTGTCCCTAAGCCACACTCACCACTGTGACAATGGTGCATTTTAAAGGGACATGTGGGCAAAAGAGAACTGGCCTGAGGATACTGGTTTCTCTAGCAAATTCACTACAACTGATTCAGAAACTAAAGGTAGAACCCAAGGCACAAGTGGGTACAACCACATTTTGACCACTCTTACTTATTAGTATACAAAGTAGTCTGATGTGTCTCTTGTTCCTAAACATGAGGTTAATATCTGTCTGGGTCTGAAATGTGTCATCAATATTTTAACAACCCACAGAGAAATGCAGCCTTTGGATTCCAGAGGCCCTCATCTCCCTCATCTAATTAATGTACCACCTCCAAAGGCTCTACATCAGTCTTTTTGCTCCCTGGCAGGATCAGGGCCAAGCCCAAAGGCACAGCCAAGAGACAGCCAAGGTATGGTCCCCATCCCCACTCCAGCTGTTTTTTTTAGACTGAGTCTCATTCTGTTGCCCAGGCTGGAGTACAGTGGTGCAATCTCTACTCACTGCAACCTCTGCCTCCCGTCTTCACACAATTCTGCTGCCTCAGCCTCCTGAGTAGCTGGGATTATGGGTGTGCACCACCTTGCTCAGTTAATTTTTATATTTCTTTTTCTTTTTTTGAGACAGAGTTTTGCTCTGTCACCAGTCTGGAGTGCAGTGGCGCCATCTCAGCTCATTGCAACCTCTGCCTCCTGGGTTCAAGTGATTCTCCTGCCCCAGCCTCCCGAGTAGCTGGGACTACAGGCACACACTACCTAACACCCAGCTAATTTTTGTATTTTTAGTAGAGATGGTACAATTCAAGATGAGATTTTTAAAATAAAAATAAATTTAAAAATAGTAGAGACGGGGCTTCACCATTTTGCCAGGATGGTCTTGATCTCTTCACCTTGTGATCCGCCCACCTAGTGATCTGCCCGCCTTGCCCTCCCAAAGTGTTGGGATTACAGGTATGAGCCACCGCGGCTGGACAATTTTTGTATTTTTAGTAGAGAGGGTTTCACCATTTTGGCCAGACTGGTCTCAAATTCCTGACCTCAAGTGATCGCCTGCCTTGGCCTCCCAAAGTGCTGGGATTACAGGCGTGAGCACCTTGCCCAGCCCCCGCTCCAGTTTTTATCAGAGGTCTGTCCCCAGTGCCAATATCTTCATCAGCTACAACTTTGACCAGAAGAAATGCAGACGGAAGTGGAATGAAGAAGGCCAAGGATGATTCTCACCTGGGCAGGTGTTCTTGTTGCAGGCAATAGAACAGGCTTCCAGTACCTTCTCAGCCCTTCCACCATCTGTGCCTTTGGAACGGAGATCCACGAGGATCAAATGGTTGTCGGAACCACCTGGAAACAAAGTTGGACATATAGAAATGCAGGCTAATTCTATGCCGTGAAGGAGTCTCTCTGAGAAATGGAGGTGAGGGTGAGAGAGGCCAAAGCAGATGAGGTCAGGAAGGTAAGCACACTCACCACATGGCCTGGGATTCTAATCACCCACGAGAGATGCCCGGGCCTGAGAGTGTGAAAGGAAGGCCAGAGCACTATTGAAAGGCGTAACTGATCATACAGAAGAAGGCCTGACACTCCCCTGGGGAAGAGATAGTTTCCTTAGGCTGCCCCTGGCTTGTTTTCTCTGACAAATTGCTTGGGAAATTCCCTAACATTGAAGGCTCCCCAAAGGCAGCATGAGTATTGGGTAGTGGTTCAATTTACTGTGTTGGCAGGGTAAGGCACATGCTCACAGAGCACACTAGGTGCCAGACACTGTACTAGCCTGTGATGGGTTTTACCAGGATCCTGTGAGGCTGATGGTACTATCAAAATGGTAAGGTGACAACAGCAAGGCTAACAGGAGGTGACCAAGGTCACACAGGAGGATTCTATCACTTTGAACCTTCATTAAGCCGGGGTGTTGCCTTGGGTGCCGATGGTGCTCGGGCCTCTGCCTCTGAGCTGTATGCAGGATGCCTTTGAAGATGAGGGTGAGCTAGGGCTCCAGCTTGGCTCTGCAGCCCCACAGCTGTGCCCACCTACTTGCATTGTGGCTTTAGGCAGGCAGCTCAACATTGTGAAACCTCAGATCTTAGATGCTCATTTGTAACAAAAAGACCAGTCATTCACAGGGCTGTCATGAAGTTTAAGTCAGATACTGAATACAGTGTTTCTCACTTTGTCAGGCACAAAGGGGCATTCACAAGCATTATCTGCTTCAGCCGTGTGCATCAGGTCCTCAGAGGGCAGAATGACAATGACAAAGTCACCAGGGAGAGGGCAGGCCCATGCCATGAGATGCCCATGGTGTCAGGGACTATCGCCTAACCCCTCACAACTCCAAGGGTGGCTCCCAGACCAGCATCACCCAAGATCTGGTCAGAATCTGCATCACACCAGCAGCCCCAGGGGTGGTATGCACATCCAAGTTTGAGAAACAGGGACATGACCAGGTGGGGTGGCTCACACCTGTAAGCCCAGAACTTTGGGAGGCCGAGGCAGGCAAATCACAAAGTCAGGTTTGAGACCAGCCTCATCAACATGGTGAAACCCCATCTCTACTAAAATTACAAAAATTAGCCAGGTGTGGTGGCACCTGCCTGTAATCCCAGCTACTTGGGAAGCTGAGGCAGGAGAATTGCTTGAACCCTGGAGGCGGAGGTTGCAATGAGCCGAGATGGTGCCACTGCACTCCAGCCTGGGCAACAGAGCGAGACTCTGTCTCAAAAAACAAAAGAGAAACAGGGACCCACAGTGGTTCCTGTTTTGGACACCAGGAACTGGTTTTGTGAAAGACAGTTTTTTCATAGATAGCGTTGGGGGATGGTTTTAGGATGAAACTTCCACCTCAGATCATCAGGCATTAGATTCTCATAAGGATGCAGGTATAATCAGAGGGGGAAAAAAGGATAGTTTCTCAAAAGAGGCCCAACCTAGCTCCCTCACATGTGCAGTTCACAACAGGGTTCAGCTCCTATGAGAACTGAATGCTGCCACTGATCTGCCAGGAGACAAAGCTCAGGCAGCAATGATCTCTCCCCCACCTCACTTCTTGCTGTGCGGCTGGGTTCCTAACAGGCCACAAACCAGTACTAGTCTGGGGCCTGGAGGTTGGGGACTCCTGAGCAAAAGCACCCTGAAGGTCACAGTCCACACTAGGACTTCTTGGGCTTTATTATTTGAAGACATGGAGGATGACAGGAGAACAGAAAGAGGTAAAACATAAAAGCAGGTGTGGCCAGCACTACTGAGGACATGGCGCCGGCCAGGCCTTCCCCGCACGACTGAGGAGATGGCACTGGCCCAGTCTTCCCAGGACTGCTGCACACACAGGATTAGGTGGAAGCCCCCCTCCTTAGACCAGAGGGCCTGTAATCCCCATAAAGGGCAAAGGGCATGGTGCAGGGAGTGGGCACTTGGGTAAACACACAGCAGGACTCATATTCCTGGACCACACCACTGTTAGCACAATCGGCAGCCTCATGGGCCCAGGAATAAAGTTGCCCTTCCTCAGGAGGATTGAGTATACTGCCTGCCAAAAAAATGCCTTCTCCCTGTGGAAGCCTGCAGACTGTGAGGTGGATGGCACCCCAGCATGGGGCCCTGACCTGGGAAGTCCAT